ATGCCGGGAAACCCACCATCCTTTTTCTGTCCGCTCCTATCCTACATATTAGCTCCTCCCTGGAACTTCCCTAGAAGTTCCCTGGAACTTTCTCCAACTGTCTCTCCAACGACCAACTGCTGTTCCCTCTCCTGGGCTCCAGGAACCTTTTCTAGCAAACATTCTCATACTCTCAACACCACGGACCCTGGTTGCCTGGAAGGGCCCAAACCGTGGGGCATCCTGGAGGGAGCTGTTTCCCCACCTTCTCCAGCCCGGAAACCTGCTCAGGTTTCCCGCCTCCCGGCAGCCACCCGCCAGCCCCCGCTCTGCTCTGGGTAAGGGGAGGGCTCTTCTCTGACTGGAGGGAGGTAGAGATTTGTCATAACCCACGAAAGGAGGGGCGGGTGTCGGTCTGGGAGCTGATGGGAATTAGTGTTAAGGGTGGCACTTCTGGTTCTTCACTCTGGTGTGATTTGTGGCATTATTCGTGGCATTTCTAGGTGCTTGTCTGACCCTGAGACTTTTCTCTAACTCTTCCCAGAAAGGATGCCTCGGAGCATTCCTCACTGCTGAGTCTGGCCTAGGACGAGTACTGGTTTTGGGCCTTATTTCCGACAGACTTAGCAAATTTTTCTCCTTAGTGGAGTCCTCACTCCTCTTCCAGGAATTAGGCAGAATCCCTTTCTCCTCCCTTTGAAATCCTTAGGAATGTGGGGCGAACCAGAGTGTAGATCTTTCCAAAAGAAGGGCCAGGTACACATACAGCTCTGGGAAGCCCGAAGTTCAGTTCTTATCTCAAGCAAAATGTCCACTTTCTGAGGGTGTCCTCAGCAAATGAATATGTAACATGCCACCATTTCAGAGCACTTTGGGGCCTTCCATGCTGTGAGGGAAGTGATTCATTAATATGTGAGGTTTCAGAAAGTTTGTGGAAAAATACAATTAAAATCTGTGTTTATTTTGGTACCAATAAAATTGAAATTCATGCATAGTTTTTTCACAATACACCTTGTCCATGAACTCTTTGAAGACCCCTTGTATGAAATCAGTGGCTGAAGAAAGGGGGTTATTAAACCGATTATTGGTTGCTGAGACCAGCAAGGTGGAGCTACCCGATAGGAGAGTTTGAGTAAAGGGGCCAGGGACCCCAGCCTCTGGCCAGAAGGCCTGCAGAGACTTTGGATAACAAGTGGGGTGGGTGGGCAGGTGGGGCCAGGGTGGGCCTTATCTCATAGACGCTCTCCTGACACAGGGACGGGACATGTAACTGCCTGGAAAATGGAGCTCTGAGCTCTCTGCCACCCCGCCACCACCCACTGCCGCTCTCTTCTGCTTGGTAGAAGGGAAGTAAGCATTTCTTAAAATAACAACAAAAGAAATTACATTTTAATACTTGTACATTTCAAGCCACTTCCCAAACCGGTCACTTGAAATGAAAGGTACATTTAACAAAAGCAAAACATGGTTAGTAACTAAAAGATGGACCCAGTGCATTTTGGGAGATTTTGAGGTTCTGTCTTATTCTTTATATATGAAAGACAACCAGAGGTCAGGGTAGTTTGTTTACAGCATCTGGTTTTTGTTTTTAAGTTCATTTATTTCTTCAGAAAGAGAGAGACAGAGATAGGCACCCCTGCCAGGGTTTTCACGTTGCGATCCACCGCAGCCTCAAGCAACGTGGATGGCAGACTGTGTGTGCAACTGTCGTGCTCAGGGAGGCCCTGGGATGTGAACTCAGGACTTTCCCATGTGGGGCAGTGGTGTTACCACGTGCCACCACCTGGCCTCATGTGTGAGCTTTTGAAATGTGTATGCCTATGTACTTAACTGGTTATTAAGCATTTGCTGTGTTTAAAGTACTGTGGGAAATGCAGGGACAAGGAGGACCCACACAAGGTGAAATATGTACACAGAAAGCTAGAACAGAAAACGGAAACTGATGAACGCTGTTGGCATGGGAGCAAACAGTGCTCCTGCAGCCTGAGTGAGCCCAAGTGCATTCAGCAAGGTGCAGTGGTGATCTGTGGGCCTCCCTCCCCGACTTCCTCCGTTCCTCAGTGGCAACTGAGCACCTGCCATTTTCAGACCCTGTGCTGGGTGGCAGATCCAGCAATTCACAGGCATCGCTCGTCCTCCCCATAGAACTAACAGTCTAATTGCAGAGAAATAGGAGTAACAGGCAAATAAAACTGCCTAGATACTGCTGCCATGGTGGCAGCATTACAGACCCTATCTGAGGATGTGAGAGGCCCCCCAAGGAAGTTCCTGGAGGAAAGTGGTGTTTAAATAGCACCTGAAGGGTGAGCAAAAGTCAGCCAGGTGGGTTGGGGCAGAAGGAAAGTGCCCCCTACAGAGAAAACGCCCTGCGTAAAGACACACACACAGAGAGCACAACTGATGGGAAGAAAGAATGGTCCACAGAGGCTGCTCAAACTATCTACACAGTCCCACAAAACGTAAGTTCCTGGGATTGTGTGTGTGTGTAATTTTTTATTGTGGTAAAATTACATAGTATAAATAATACAATTCCAACCATTTTAAGTGACAGTTCAGTGGCATTTAGGATCTTTGCAATGGTGTGCAACCATCACTGCTATCTGTTGCCAAAATCTTTATTTTTTTTTTTATTGCCAGAGGGTGCATGTGAGGAAGTGAGAAACCACCCCCACCCACGAGGCCTGGTCATGCCCAAATCCCTTCTCTTCCCTCTTGCCCTCCTTTGAGGATTTGGGCATGTGCATACATGCATCTGGCATGTTTTTCCAGCTGCTGAGTCCTGGACTCAACCACACTGTCAGCCATGTGGAATCCAGCTGCTTTAACCAGTAGTCCACCGGCTGGCCTTCCAAAACTTTTCCTTACCCTAAAAGGAAACGCCATAACCTTTAGGCACTAAGTCCCCCATTCCCCTCCCTCCAGCCCCTACTAACCCTTAATCTATTTTCTGATTGTATGAAGTTCCTATAAATGGAATCGTATCATATTTGCCCTGGATTATTTCTTTTAACATAATGTCTTTAAAGTTTACCCATGTTGTAGCATATATCAGAATGTCATTCCTTTTTATGGCTGAATAATATTCTGTCGTATGCGTATACCACATTTTATTCATCAATTTATACACACCTGGGTTGTTTCCGCCTTTTGGCTGTGATAAACACTGACCTACTAGTATTGGTTCAAGTCCCAGCTTTTAATTCCTTTATATATACACCTAGGAGTGGAATTACTAAATCATATGGCCTTTTGTTTTCTGAGGAAATACCAAACTGTTTTCCGTAGCAGCCATATCATTTTACATTCTTACCAGGGATGTATGAGGGTTCCAATTTCTCCAGCAACACGTGTTATTTTATGTGGTTCCTAAAAATGCACATAATAGCCATCCTAATCAGTGAGAATCGGCATATCATCAAGGCTTTGATTTGTTTTTCCCTAATGATCACTGATGTTGGTATCATTTTGTGTATTTTGGGGGCCATTTGTGTATCTTTTTGAGAAATGTTTGTTCAATACTTTTTATATTTTTTGAATCAGGTTGTCTTGTTTTTGTTGTGAAGCTGTAGGAGTTTGTTATTCTGAATGTTAATCCCTTGTCAGATGTATGATTTACAAATATTTTCTCCCATTCTCTAGGCCTTCTTTTCCCAATATTAATAGTGTCCTTTTCTTGCCTGAATTTTTTTTTTTTTTTTTTTTTTTGCATTTTGTTTTTAATTTGCCATAGGATGTATGTGCTTGCTGGAGAGAGATTGGGGGGAGGGCGGAGAGAGAGAGAAAGTGAGAAAGCACCCTCCAGAAGGGTGGACCGACACAGTCTCTTCTCCTCCATTCTCCTCTTGGGACTTTGGGCATGCACATAGCATGATTTTCAAGCCACCAGTTCTGAGACTCAAACTGGGGTTGGCCATGTGGGAATCTAACCACTTTAACCAGCCACCTGCTGGCCTCTGATTTTGTTATCTTAACAAAATTAAGTCTTTCTATACATGAACGCAGGATATCTTTACATTTATTTAGATCTTTAATTTCTTTTAACAAAATTTTATAGCTTTCAGTGCACAAATCTTTGACTTGTTGGTTAAATTTATTCCTAATTTATTATTTCAGATGCTATTGTAAATGGAGTAGTTTTCCTAATTTTATAATTGGATTCTTCACTGTAGAGTATTGATTTTTATATGTTGATTTTGTGTTCTGAAACCTTGCTGAATTTGCTTTGTAACTCTCATAGCTGTTCTTTTTA